ACACAGACACACACACACACACACACACACAGACACACAGATACTCACACACACATACACACACACACACACACACACACAGACAGACACACACACATACACACACAGACACACACATATTATCATATATATAATTTCTAAGTAAATGGGTCTTATTTAGTTTCTATTTAAAACATTTTAATAACTCAGGTATTGTTTTTTGCCATGAAAATAGCCAGATACGCTGGCATGGTGTTTACAAAAAAATAACATCTGTTATTGGTCGTATTCATGTTCACTGGGTTTATTTTCAGATCCCACCACTGTGACCTGTGAAGAACTGCAGCAGCACAAGAACTTCCTCAAAGTCGCCAAGAAACAAGGGAAAGACCTGAAAGACACGGAGAAGAAGTTTCAGAAGAAACGAGAAGAACTGATTCAGAAATACAGCGACCAGTTCAAAGCCTTGAAGAAGAAGAGCACGGGCAAGAAGTAAATGCAGAATGAACACACTCTCTTATAGGCAGTGTTATTTTATACTATTGCAGTATTTTCAAATTCCATATATTTTCTCAATTTAGTTACATTTTTTGTAATTTTGTTATGTGCTTTTGTCATTTTTATTTTTTAATTACTATTTAGGTTAAATTTTTTTATTTCAGTTTTAGTTTTTTCTCTACTGAGAAGCAAACTGCGGAAGATAAGACTTTTTCAGATAATATATCTTGCATTAACATTATTTCTCTATTTTAGTTGAAGTTTTAGTAATTTTACGTACGTTTGTCATTTTTATTCGTTTTCGATTTTTAAATATTTCTTTTTTTTTTTTACTAATTTTAGTACTTAAACTTATTTTATTTCATTTAGTTGCCAAGGCGGAATTTCTAATTAAATTTTTTTTTAAGTTTAAAGTTTTTCATCTAATACATACTTTTCATTTCAGATTTATTTCAGTTAAAGAAAACTATTTTTTAACAATTTCGATTTTAGTAAACAATATACATACTGGTGATTGGCTCTGTCTTATGGAATTCTAAACCTGACAAAATTAGAAATACATAAATAGGATAACTAAATATACAAAGAAATGTAAAAAAATTTAATAAATAAATATACAAAGAAAAGAAAAAAATATTTATACTTTTATTTCCTTATGTATATTTTTCTTTTTCCCCACATTTATTTATTTTTTCTTTTATTTATACGTTTATTTGTTTCCACTTTTATTTATTTCCACATAAAAGTAGAAATAAATAAATGTGGGGAAAAAATTAAATATACGTAAGGAAATAAACGTATAAATAATTATTTAAAAAAAAATTCTTTTCTTTGTATATTTATCAATATATTTATTTATTTAGTTTTGCTTGTTTACATTTCTTTGTATATTTATTTATTTCTAATTTTGTCAGGTTTGGAATTCCATAGGTTCTGTTTTAGATCAGTGGTGGTCTTCATTAAACTAGCAAAGAAGTCTGGTGTGCATCCACGTTTAGCTCTCTTGAGTCGGGAAACACTTCCGTTGAACTTCAATGTTTTGTGTTTTTGTCCCGTGAGATGTGTGTTGTGTGTTGATCTCTGGTTAAGTGATTGTGTTTGTTCCCATGTGATTGTCCAGGTCTGGAGATGATCCAGGTGATCAGATGAATGAACTCAAGCAGAAGCTGAAGTCGGAGCTCAGGGCGCTACTAGTGGAGCAACACGATCAAACCAAGAAGAAGAAAGAACAAAACAACACTGAGGTAAAGACACAGACATTATTACTGTACAGTGTAGCTAATGATTGTTTTAAGAGTCACACTGTGAGACTGTGACCTAAATTACACTGTCAGAACTCCAGCAGAGCCTGAACTTCATCACAAAGACAATTCATCAGCCATCGGAGAGAGTGTTTTTGCCGTACAGTCAAAGAAATCTGCAGATTTTGTTTCAGAAATCATCCACATATACACATAGTGTAAATCTGCTAGCAAACATTTTCAAAAAGCACATGAATGTCTGTCTAATCAAAACATGATTGGCATGAAGGGTTTCACTTATGCCAAACAAACACAATAATCACACAGTGATCACAGTTTTTGTTTTACATTATATAATATAAACAACAATAATAATAGTAATCGTTATTATTATTGTTGTTTTATGAATTCTTTTTTTATTTCAGCCATACTCAGCATTTTAATTAGCCAGTTATTATTATTCTTTTATTTAATTTTTTAATGAATTATTAATGAAGAGTTTCAATTTGATTATTATTATTATTATTATATAATTTTTTTTCAGACTGAGCGTTATAATTGAATGGGATGAGACAAAACATTTTACTGTTTTAGTTTTCGACATATTAGGCATAGGAGTAAGAGCAAATGTGTGCATATTTTAAAATAAAAATATTATTTGTATTAGTTCCAATTGATTTATAGTTTCAATTTGATTATTATTATTATTATTATTATTATTATATAATTTTTTTTCAGCCTTACTGAGCGTTTCAGTTAGTGAATTGTTATTATTATTATTATTATTATTGTTGTTGTTTTTATTAAATTTTTGATTGATTTCAGCCATAATGAGCATTTTAATTAGCCTATTATTTATTTATTTATTTTTACGAATTCTTGTTTGATTGTGGCCATACTGAGCATTTCAATGAGCCAAACATCTTCTCAGTCCTGCACTGTTCCCATTGATTTCAGCCATAATGAGCATTTTAATTAGCCTATTATTTATTTATTTATTTTTACGAATTCTTGTTTGATTGTGGCCATACTGAGCATTTCAATGAGCCAAACATCTTCTCAGTCCTGCACTGTTCCCGCTGGCCGTGAGCCAGGACTCTCTCAGTATTGATTACCCATCAGCACTCCGCTGCTCTGTGCAGTCAGTAGATCTGCATAGATCAGGGGTCAATCATGTCCCGTACTGGAAGAGTAAACCTGACCGGACCCACGAACACCCTCTTACTCTCATATTGACCATCTCTGAATGGATCTGTGCTCGGGCTCCGAGAAAAGACAAAAGACTCCTCAGGGCTCGACAATAAGGACTGCCTGGTCGGGCCACTGCTGCATAGTCACGAAAGTTTATCATTTGCACGTGTTTTTAAGCATTCATTTATACAGTGAAGAATATGCAGTGTTATTGTACATTTGATTATTCATTTCTGTACCTGAACACTGTTAGGCTAGTAACAAAATAACATAGCAACCAGACAATAATGCTATAAAACACTCAAAACAACATAAAACACTCAGAATAACCTAGCAACCACACAGCAACACTCTAAAACACTCGGAATAACATAGCAACCGCACAGCAACACTCTAAAACACTCGGAATAACATAGCAACTGCATAGTAACGCTCTAAAACACTTAAAATAACATAGCAACCGGACAGTCATGCTCTAAAACACTCAGAATAACCTAGCAGCCACACAGCAACACTCTAAAACACTCAGAACAACACAGAAACTGCACAGCAACACTCTAAAACACTCAAAATAACATAGCAACCGCACAGCAACACTCTAAAACACTCAAAATAACATAGCAACCACACAGCAACACTCTAAAACACTCAGAACACAGAAACCGCATCACAACACTGTAATAGTAACACGCATAGCAACCGTCTAAAACCACTCAAACAACTTAAGACACTCAGAATAACCTAGCAACACTCTAAAAACATGAATGATTTTTTACTAAGTGATCAGATGCATAATTTTCACCTGCTAAACCAGAAAGCAGCTGCTAGATATTTCTTTCTTGGAATGGGCAGGAAGTGCTTGTATTCATTTCCTCTGTATGGCAGCGCAGCAGATCTCGGAGCGGCTCCGAGGGCCAGCTGGTGCGTTCTGTTCTGATATGTGTAAGTGACACTTCCTGTGTTCTCTCCTGTATTTCCTGTGTGACAGCGTTTGACCAAACTCCTGGAAATGGCCACAGAGAAGCACTGCAGTGAGGTCAAGGCACTCAACAGGTGTGTGTGTGTGTGTGTGTGCGCACGTTTTTGTGACAAATGAGGACATAAATTTGTATAATGACAAGGGTATGATATAGGTATTACAAGGAAAAGGTGACTTTTCAGGACATTACCCCATGGCCCCACTTTTCAAAACGCATATAAATCACACAGAATGGAGTGTACTGAAAATCTGAAATAGCACAAAGTTTCCTGTAAGGGGTAGGTTTAGGGTTGGTGTAGGGCAATAGCACATACAGTTTGTACAGTATAAAAACCATTACGCCTATGGGATGTCCCCACTTTTCACAAAAACAAACCTGTGTGTCTGTGTCTGTGTCTGTGTGTGTATTTCAGTTCACTTGAACTTTGAAGTAAGAGAAATACAAAGGAAAATGCAAGAAAGAACGAGCGTAAGATGAATCATTAAGTGCTGCAAGCTTTGAGTGCTTTAATTCAGCTAATGCATCAGAGAGCTGCAGTGTGTGAGTGTGTTTTGTCTTGGGATTTATAATGAGGTTTCACGTCTAACAAAACCAGGGTTCGATGACCTTTTCTACATGGAGTGCAGTTTGTTTGTTAATTATTATTGTTCGGAGAGCAAAAGCAGAGTAAATGAGTGCTGTGAGCGTGAGTAGGACCCCATGAGCTCAAACCCATAATGAAATTAAACAGCTCATATGAGGAATGACTGCTGTATGAGATCATCTGGCTTGATGGGATTTAAATATATTAAAATTAACAATTCAATAAAATAAAAGGTATATAACATTCATGATATCTCTCACCCTCACAATCTGTTTTTTCTTTTTCAGTGAGCCCAAGAAGAAAGACAAGTAAGATTTTTTTTTATGTTTTTGAATTTTACACAAAAATGTAAAAATAAAATCATTTTAAATTGATCAAAATGAAACACTTACTAATAATTAAGTCATAAATATGTAAAATTAAATTAAATATCCAATGTTCACCAAAGCTGAAAAAATTTAAATTACATTTACATTTACATTTACTCATTTAGCAGACGCTTTTATCCAAAGCGACTTACAAATGAGGACAATAAAAGCAGTCAAAACTAACAAAAGAGCAACAATATATAAGTGCAAATGACAAGTCTCAGTTAGCCTAACGCAGTACACGTAGCAAGGTGTATATATATATATATATATATATATACATATTATACACACACACACAAACAAAGAAAAACAAGTAGATAGAATAGAAAAAATAGAAAGCTAGTTTTTTTGTTTTAAATAAAAAAAGAAGATAAAGTAGAATTAAAATAGAATAGAAAGTGCTAGAGTTAGAGGGTCAAATAAAGGGCTGCCGCGGTATACTAAGCTTTTTATATTCGTCTAACAAATTCAAATTGAATTCAGCTGGACACACTTTCCTGTTTATCACAACAAATGGCCAAGCAAAGCGCACGACACTGACAAGGTACGCGATAGAGTTCGAGACCAAACGCGATTTCAGCAGTCTCCACAGTAAACAAAACAAGCGTTTCCTAGCAACGACAACTGCGCTAAACACTGAGACAAGAAATAAATACACTTACAAGCTGCTTTTAACTTCTGCTGATTGACTGCTTCTCACAAAGAGTATTTCTTTACACTGTTTTGCTGGCGCTTAATCACACTTTCCTGTTTATCACAACAAATGGCCAAGCAAAGCGCACGACACTGACAAGGTACGCGATACAGTACGAGACCAAACGCGATTTAAATTAAAATGTAAAATTAAAATAAATAATTTTAAATCAATCTGAAAGAAACATTTAGTAATAATAAATTAAATCATAAATATGTAAAATTAAATCAGTCAAAATAAAACGCTTACTAATAATTAATTAAATCATAAAACTTTAAAATTACAATCAATTAATAAATAATTTAAAGAAACAAGTTGAAAGACGTTTTTGAAAGACGTCTCTCTAAGATCAAAAATACAGTAAAAACAGTAATATTGTGAAATATTATTACAATTTAAAATAATTGTTTTCTATTGTAATATATTGTAAAATGGTATTTATTTCTGTGACCAAAGCTGAGTTTTCGGCATCATTACTCCAGTCTTCAGTGTCACATGATCTTCAGAAATCATTATCATATGCTATAAAAGCATTAATTTCTTTCAAAAAATGTTAGTTTTATTAAACCTCATTCATGTTACATTTAACTTGATTATTCTTGTTTTAACGCACAAATCCTCATGTTTCTCTGTTTCAGAATGAAGAAATGCAAAAGTACGGAGCAGCTTGACAATGATAACGCTCAGGTAAAACACCACATGAACACAGATCGAGTGATTGAGCGTGTCGAACACAAAAGGAAAAATAGACGGACTGCAGTTGAATGAGAAGCGCAATTGAGACCAGAGCTGTAACCATGACGACAGTCGGACAGTCAGCCATGGTTTGGGTTGAGTTTTAACTATTTAGGGCCAAATAACATTCAAGTTTACTTTGGTTTTCTGTTGTTTCAGTCCAATAGGTTAGATAATTTTCTTTTTGTGCTTTTATAATTTGGTTGGGCCGAATTTTGTGGATGAATATGAGTGAGTCCTGATGCTGGATGCTGTTAGTCATGTTAGTTTGTTTTTGCAGCTTCAGGACCATCTGAATCAGGGGACTTTTTTCAGGGTTCACTTCATGGTTTTTAAGGGCTTTAAAATGGTAAGAGTTGGGGTCTCTCTCTCTCTCTCTCTCTGTCTGTCTCTCTCGCTCTCTCTCTCTCTCATGATGTTTACAGCAGGCGAGCGTTGGAAACATGTGCGTTATTATGACTCACTCACTTCTGTTCACATGCAGCTCATCCAAATTCATTCACTTCTCTATTTCTTTCACTATCCGTTAATTCCACATCTCCACTGCAAGAACAGAATGTCATTACAGTTTAAGATGTAAAGATCACAGAAAGTGTTTACAGATGTATTTATAAAGCCAGAGACTCCGAATATACTCTACGTGAGTTTATTTGAACGCAAACGTAAATGAGTGTTTAGATTAGGGGTTGATAAAAAAGGTAATAATTAATTAAAAAAAAAAAAAAAAAAATTATAATAACAAAAATAAATCACTTACTAATAATTATTTAAATCAAAACTGAACAAAAAATATCAATTTAAAACAAAAACTATTATAAAATAAAACACATTCAAATAAATGTAAAATAAAAACAATCAAAATGAAACATTAATAATTAAATCATAAAAATGTAAAATTCAAATAAATGCATAATTTTTAAATGAAACAAAAAATTAGAATGAAATACTAATAATTAATAAATCATAAAATGTAAAGTTAATATAAATAATTTTAAAAAACAATCAATATAATACACCTACTAATAATTAATTAAATCATAAAAAATAAAATAAATAAATACATTTAAAAAATAAAAAATTATTAAAATAAAAAGACATTACTAACAATGAATTAAATCATAAAAATGTGAAATTTTAATAAATATATACTTTTAAAATTTAAAATTAAAACACTTGCTAATAATTAATTAAATCATAAAAATATAAATTAAAATTAAATAAATAGTTTTCAAATAAAAACAATCAAAATAAAACACTTACTAAAAAGATACTATTTTATTTGTTTGATTAAATGATTTATTTATTTACCTGCATGTTTATGTGACCATCATGTAACCAACGTCAGAAAAGTGAACATCTGAATAAGTTACTAAAATATTAACTTAAGATCTCAGGGGGACTTCAAGTAAATATTTTAGGTCAAAGGGGACAAAAAAGTTTGGGAATCCCTGGTCTATACGAACCGGTTGTAAGTTGAGTTTTGTGTGCTTTAATTTATGCTTCTTGTGCAATAATTTATGAGGTTTCTTTCCCATCAGGATGTTTTCTTGGAAGGCAGCTCACTAGGCTACTCAGATTCATAGCCTAGGAAGGGGCTTTGGTTTGATGCACAAACCACCTCAAGTTAAAGTTAAAGGTCACAGAAGTTTATCTTTTCCACAATAATTGAGCTTGAGAACTGAAAGATGTTCTGCAGCTGCACGGAGAGTGTGGAGTCTGTCAGCTCAACGTGATGTGTGAACAATAGCTGCACATGGACTCTGTTTTCTCTCTTTGTCTCACTGACACTCAAACACACACATGTTCATACACATGACCTGGAGAGCAATGCAGCACGTCTGTTGAACACTGTTGCATGCATATTAATGCATATGCGCTGCACTTGAGAACATGTAGTATGTAAGTGCACAAGACTTGAAGGTGTGCGCAATCGTATGACCATGTGATGTTGCTGGCAGACGTGGTTTGAACATGGTTTGTGTGTGTGTGTGTGAGTGAGAGTGTGTGTGTGTGAGTGTGTGTGTGAGAGAGTGTGTGTGTGA